TTCTATCATCGATACCATGATAATGATCTATTTCAGCTGCCGTGGATACCGTAAGTCCTCAATATAGCTTATATTCTGTCCTCAAGTCACTATCTCCAGAACACCAGTGTTATTTCGCTCTTCCTCGTGGCCATGTTCCTCTTTCCAGAGATTGCGCATAGAGTACAAGAGGAAATTACAAGCGTCATTGGAAGCGACAGGCTACTAACAGGAAGCGATAGAGCCAACCTGCCATACACCGAGGCAGTATGGAAGGAGGCAATACGATGGAACCCTGGCGTTGCCTTTGGCAAGTCATTCCGACAACTCTAGCGCCTATTTATATCTGCTAAGTGATAATGTACAGGTCTACCGCACGTCAACAAGAATGAAGAATATATCAATGGCTACGTTATTCCCAAGGGAAGCCTCATTAATGCAAACGTTGGGTAAATCCATATATCCACATCGATTTTGATCAAGATTATCTCATCTTCGTGGCTTATAGCTTTATGTTAAATGACCCAGTGATTTGGGGTGACCCAGAGGTATTCAGACCGGAAAGGCATCTCGAACCAGACGCCTCACAGCGACCCAACCCGCTTACATTGATATTTGGATTCGGACTACGGTACGACCATTCGACATTTCTCGAGTGTCCTTAATCACCAGCCCCTCATAGCGTCTGTCCGGGAATGCACCTTGCGGATCTTATCGGGTTCCATTTAGCTATCAAAACGCTTTCGGTATATAACATCGTACCAATTGAAGGGAAAGAGAGACCAGAACCATCCTCTATGGAGTATACGCCCAACATTATCAGGTAGGTATTCCTGCGGAATGGGGAGTGCATGGAAACTGACTTGTGACTAGGTTACCGAAAAACTTTGAATGCCAGTTCGTTCTTCGGAACGATAAAGCACGGGAACTCCTATATTCTCTATCTATGTCAAACAATTAATTTCCAGCAAAGGTGAACAATTATAGGGTGGTTAAATTCCTGCCATGAACATCTTTCTATACTTTCCGGTGTATTTACTGGGAAAGCCTATTTCTGACGCGTCTTCATTGAAATTACGAAGCAGCTGGCCACACTCTACGAACATGAGGTTACCCATCTCTTTCCTCGCTTATGTAATATCTGAACTCAATAATTGTGGTGATGGAAAGAAGTAATTTTGAATGTAAATAATCACACTAAGATTGAGGACA